TCTTGCTTCCCGGCAGAAGCGACAACGTCAGTGAATGAATTTCCCCCGGCAGGGAATCAAACACTGGAACCAACACCAAACACACATTCAAGTGGTTTCTTTCCACGGCCCCCTGAACTCACCCCGTAAGAGGGTGAAAAGGAGGGTTAAAAGGGTGCCCATGCAGAGATCAGATCTAAACTCTCCTGGTGAAGACTCAGATGTGGGAGCTTTGACAATCCATCCATGATGTAGAGCTTTGCCGCACGGACAGAACTCCAGCGTCCCTTGTCGAGAACTAAATCGTAGGAGAGACTTTGCTGAAAGAGATGGGTCGCACCCCCGCGTCTAAGGCTGTAAGGCCTGAAGCCACACCTTTGAAGTTTGAAGAACTTACAATATTCTTTGAAGCGCTGACGAAACACAGAGGGCGAACCTTGCCAAATCTTAGCAAACTTCAAATTCTTCTCTTGCAAATACTCCAAAAGGGTCTGAAGGACCATAAGCACCCACGGGTGGTGCAAAGTCACAACTTCTGTAACCCCCTTCCGACCAGAAGTCTTGGTGTTTGCTAGCCTAATGAGGCCTTGTCCATTACGGATGAGGAGATCGGAACCACAAAGTGTGAGCATTTCACCTGTCCTCAAGAGGCCTTCGAAGGCTGCAAGAATCAGTGCCCCAAAAACCAGGTCACCCCGAAAAATAGCGCAAAGGAAAAATCACTCCTTTCTTGGGAGTGACTTGTGGGTGCCAGCAGTGTTCAAAAACCACTTTTCTCACCACAAGTGAAAGACCATTCGGCTCAGAGTCTCCCGCATTGGCGATAAGCCAGGCCCCAAAACAGCCAGCCTGTGCCAAGGTGCTGATTTTTGCCAGGGCCTGTAGGAAGATCTCTAAACCTCTGCTGTCAACTGTACTCTGTTGTTGAGACTCGAGCACGGTGTGGACCAGCTCTGCCTCCTGTATCTCATAGCCATCAGCCCTCACTTGTCTGCTTTTGCTCCTCCATCTGCGTCTGCCCCATCCTTTTCCTTTTTGCTCTTGCTTTTTCCCTTCTTGCCTTTCTTTCCTCTGCCTTTGGATTCTCGCCAGGACCAATCTCCTTCGTTGTCCTGACCTTTCCACCAGCTTCCTTTTCCTCGGCCTTTGCCCACTGGCCAGTAGGCATTGATGTCTTGGGCTTTCGTGACCTGCCTCCCATGCTTCCTTGCCACCAATAGTACACCGTCTCCTAGGGCCGCTCCCTCTGGCATGGGAAGAACCTCGAGGTGCCGCGCCGACACCCATGAAGCGTCCAGCAAGCTCTGGTGAATCGCAACGAATCTCCCCGCTAGGACATCCCCTAGCTTTGCCAGTTGGCCTTGTCGAAGAAGGTCCATTGTCGACGCCAGCATGCGCAGCTCGCGGAGCTCCTTCGAACGATGACTGAACTGCGGCTTGATGATCAGGGAGAGGTAGGTCATGACTTTGACTCCTGATGTCAGATCGCCATGGCGAGTCGCCGGCGTGTCCACTTCTGCATTCTGTTGAAGCTGCGCGGACACATGATCCAGCAGCATGCTCAGCACTGATCCTGGCTCCTTGAGTGACTTCCGCTTCAATGGAGCCTCCAAAGCTTTCTCGTCCTCCGAAACTGACGGCGTTCGAGAACTTGCACTGGAGCTGCTGGAGCAACTTACAATCCTCCCATCGGAAAGGGTCACCCTTCTCCTCTTCTTCCGCTTCTTGTCTTTCTTCTTCTTTTTCTTCTTCCCATGTTGGCGCTTCTTCTTCTTTTTCTTTTTCTCCTTCTTGCCCTTGTCGGTGTCCTTCTCCTTTTCCCGGGAGGGCCTCCTCCCTTGACTCCTGTCCGGCTGCTTCTTGGTGTCCACGGCCTTCGTCTTGCTGTCGACTGCACTGGAACCTCGAGGAAGGATATCGGCCGCTCGCCTGATCAGCTGCTGATGAAGCCCGCTCGAGGTACCAGCGCTTATAGCCTTGTGGCTGGTCGCCTTCTGACTCCTCATCGCCTCCGGATCCAGGAGAGTCCCAGCAACCAGGCCTGTCTCCTCCAATCTTGGCCTTCGACCTCTGTAGATCTTCTCTGAGCTTCTGGATCTTTTCGGCTGGAAGGGCAGGTTGAGGAGTTGAGGACGTCCCAACTCCCTTGCCCTTTGGATCTCCGGCCTGACTGGGGGCCTTGTCTCGGCTTTTGGCTCGTTTTGTAGGCTGAGGATCCGCAAGAGCCTCTCTTTTGACTGGTCCCGTGCCTTGCGAGCCTTTCTTGCAGGCCCTGTAGGCTCGGTTGGACCAGCCTCCCCAGGGAGCCCTGATTCGTCTCCTCCTTGTCTCTTTGAAGGCCGTCTCAACGCCGGCAACCTCGGGGCTGCTGTAGCCTCTGAAAGGCCCGGCCCAAGGCCAGCCTCTTGTACCTGCACCTCTGCCTCCTCTGTCCAATCGACCTCCTCTGACTCTAAACACTTCCGAGCCGGCCTGATAGCGGCAGGGCTCAACTGATCTTCTGCACCTGCCAAGGAGTGCCAAACGACCTGTGAGACATGTATGTTGCCGGCCTCCTCTTCGATGCATGGATTGGAGCTGCAAAAATGCAGCCACCCCTGCCTTCTGTTGAACCTCAAAGACAGGTCCTTGTTCAGGCTTTGGTCTGTGGCCCCCAGGCTTTTGCAGCGAACTGCAAATGTTCCTGTACCAGGGATGAGCTGAACTTCGAGGACAAGGAAATAGCCAAGTGTAGATGGATTGCTCTGATATGAGGACGTGCCCAGGTCTACTACCAGCACATCTCCTCTCACAGGGGCCAGTGTCACCCATTGTACCCAATCGGTCAAGGTGAACAGCTCACTCTGTGCGTCATCGAACCAAGTCCAGGGAGAACCGAGCGTCCTCCGAAGACAAAGTACTCAAAAACTGTGAACTCAACTTGCGATGGATTGGAGTGTCAGGTCGTTCCTCCAACCGCCCGATCCTTTGATGCTTGCGTCCACCTCGATGTCGGTTCTTCTGATGCTGTCCACCGTGATCACTACGATGGCGTCGCCTCTCACCTTCTGGCTTCCTCCGAGTCTCCTTGCTTGGAGCTGCAACCGGTGGTGGCCTGGATGGCGGGGGTCCCTTCGGCTCAGGGGGTCTGCGGTCACCTGATCCTCCCAACGGCCTGTGAGAGACCTCTGCCTCCTCTTCTTCCTCTGTCTCTTCCTCAAAGACTTCTTCAGTCTCTGAAGGCTCCTTCTTCTCGTTCTTCTCGCTCTTGCTCTTCGCTGCCAGGCCTAAGGGCGGACCCGGCCTAGAATCCTTCTTCCTCTGCAAGACCGGCCGCTCCTCTCGCTCCTGAGTCTCTTCCCTGGCCCGCTTTCCAGCAGCCAAAGGCCGTTCAAGCCGCTGAGCTTCAGCCTGAGCGTTGGTCCGGATGGCAGCAGTCAAGGATCGAAGGAAACGAACCTGGCGAGTGGCGGACAAAACGATGTCCTCAGCAAGTCGCCTCGAGCCGGAGCACGACCAGTGAGAGGTCAGCTTCAGCCCGAGCGACTCCCACGACGAACACCCGAGGCACCAGGTGTCGCCGTCGCGAGCCGGGACCTGATGACACTTATTGCATGTCATCAAAGCCCCAGCCCAAGTGAAGCTAAAGAGCCGAAAGTGTTACGAGCGTTCAACACAGTCTTCTAAAAGAAAACATGTGACTCCATGAGTGCGGAATAACCAGGGCAGAATATATACGCAATTCTACTGTCAGTGGACCAATGGCCGCAACTGAGGGCAACCCACCAGGTTTGCCTGTCTGCTAAAGTAATTGGACGGCATGTTTGAGATCTGAAGGCTTGACTGTAATGGCAAGGCCTCCAACATAATCGGAATGGCCTCCCCCCCCAATAGCAATGACCTCGAACCTAATTTGTGCTTGCCCAAATCGTTTGTGAAGCCAGGATCGAGTTCGCCACTCACTTTCTACATACATTGAATCCTCATCTCTGAGAAATAAGCTCTAGCTCCATTCCAGAACTCAAGAGCGTTCGAAACGAGTGGCCATTTTCCAACCGCAATGTCTGCAATTCAACTTGATTATCAGCAGTCCTCTGCGACGTCGCAGTTCAACTGCAAATCTGCAGTACAATTCAGCTGTATCATATCCCCAAGTGCACTTTCGCAAAGTTTGGGGATCCAGATTCCCACTTGGACAGAGGGTCATCTGACATCAATGCATGGGCTCTGGGGTGCCGGAACGGTAGAGGAGAGAAAGGAGGAACACTTTGTTGTTTCAAACCTTCAGGCGTAACAAACACTATTTATTGCAACTGGCAACAGGCGGTACATTGCTCTTTCGCAATCGGCATCGCTCTCCTTCACATCGTTCTTTCCGTACACGCCCCAAGCACGGCGATACCAAAAGCAACATGAGGTGGCTGGGAGAATGTAACATTTAGGTCTCCAGCTGGTTCTCACATTGAACTTGATGAGGAACACACCCAAATCACAACGCGCTTCTTTGTCCACTTTTCCTCCGCTTACAGAACACGACCCACAGACCATAGCATCCTTGCTGAAAGGCGCATGGCTTGCTACGTCGCCTGGTAGTTTCGGGCGTTGGGCATGCTTTTCCTGGTAGCGAAACGTCAGCTTTGTGAAAAATAAGTAAGTTCCCAAAGAACTAACTAAGTCGTTTTGCACAATTTGACCACCGCAACTCTTGGCCAAGAAGGAAATCATTTTGAATCCACTCATCGTTCTCTCAAGGCTTTCGCTTC